GGAGAGAAAAATCCTAGATCCGCCCCTGGATCCCTATGCATAAATTTGGCGGGGCAGCATATTTTCGGAAAAACACGAAAAGTTTAACTTCGACCCGAGAAAGGAGCCTCAAAAATGAATCGATTGCTGTTCACTCTGACTGTTCTTCTGCTGATGGCCTCTGCTGGTGAGTTCTGTACAACTTTAGAACTGAATGCACTGTTGAATTACCCCATAGACAGCTTCTTATGTTTTACACCCTCATTGCTGAACAACGCAATGCAGTTCATGCAGTTTTTAGGCGGCCAACCAAAACGACTACCTGCATGATTACAGTCTAGTACGGCGGTGATTTTTCGTCTTCACCACGAAAGGCCGGCTTGTGAGCCGCACAATAATCCTTGTACTCGATGTGTTCTCAGTAAAAAAAGTGATATTATCTTGAACCAGTGGAATAACAATCCAGTATGAGTCGTTTATAGATCTTTAGTGTTCTTTGTTTGTTAATAATCTCCGTGCAATGGATGGACCTCGATGTATGCTCGCCGGCTTGGATTTGTTCTCGAATGTAATTCAGTCCTACTGTTCTGTCGAGCTAACTTGGGAACAGAAATTGTCTTTCTTTGCAAACGATTCCCTTGTAATGAATAGAGCTTAAATTTAGGCTCAACGTGGTTAGGTGTCGAACTGATGGTTCAATCCTATCGCCAAGTTTTTTTTCTGATAAATATAGGACTCAATATCTTTGAAGTTGCTAACGCAAGCTGGATCAGGGCAAGGAAAACTAAGTGAGAAAAGGGACAGGCAATCTAATGACTAAGGTCACACTGCAAAAGCGTTCAGCAATTGTTCTTTGAGATTAAGGTATGCAACCACGTATCGGCCCAAAATGACTAATATAAACAAGTTTAGGATTCTTAGTCCCACTCACGCAAAGGAAAAACTACATTTACCCGCAGTTAAATAAGACGAAATCTAACCATTACGTTCCTAATGAATCAGGGAAGAAGTTGTTGGATACACCACTAAAAGGATACGATTTTAGGTGTGGGACAACGCTCGCTTAGAGCACAAATATTTTTCACGACAAGTGGAAATTTAGTCTGCAATTTTTATCACTCCCACCAAAGCTGTTACCACGTTTTAAGAACTGAGATAGAAGTCGCAGTTATCTTACAAAATTAGTTTGGAGCTGATTTCTTTGAAAATGCTGACAAACATGGTGAAAACCGACCACATAGCTTTGTTTGCTCACAACCTCGGTTTAGTTAGAGCGATTTAAAGAAAGAGGAAAAACAAAACAAAAGACTCTGCCTACTTCATGTTTCTCGGCATCAAAACGTGGGTTAGAAAAGGGGGAAGTTAGGATTTCCTTTATTTTTTGGCGATACTCAGATATCTATCAAGGTCATCTCAAACACCGCGCGCGGTGTTGTGTTTAATTTCATAGAAAATGAAAGGGCAATATTTGCGTTGTCGTGGTTTCTTGCTCAGAAAACCCCAGTAAATCAATCGATCGCCTGTGGGATTAGCCCTTAATCCTCTTACCTACCAACCGCGCTCGACTGAAAAATATCCTGATGTGATTATGCAACAGTTCAGTTGACCTAAGGCTTTGCTCTTGTGAGCTCCTCTTCCCATTAAATGTATAGCTTTAAATATATACTTGGCCTCCACTCTTCCTTTCGCCTCCGATAATCGCACATCGCCCTTTTCACACTTTTCAGAATCACCCAATTTGCTAATGAGATTCCAAAGAAGGGTTCAAAGTTTATGGAAGACTTGAAATTTGCATATCAATGAATTAACATTAAACTTAGACGATCAGCAAATATTTAGTGCACCTTCGTGAGTTATTCATTTGGGCGTATCAGTCTGACTTAGCCCATATTTGGAACACCCAAAACAGAAACCTCTTTGTCTCACTTTGTCAATTGTGTAATCGCTTTTGTTTGTTTTGTTTTGTTTTTTTTAATCGTTCCAATTCATTTTAAAGAAATTGAGCCGAATTTTCTAGGATTATCTTCCTTTAATCCAGTGACAAAATTGTAAAACTTTTTGTTTAGAGACCGTATGCAAACTATGAATATTGTATTTGATGTGCATAGTCCCAGCTGTTAAAATCGCCATACTCGGTTTTTTTCTACAACATAATCGATAATACGGTGAATAATACGAGAAGATACGTTTGTTTTGATTATGGTTAGCAAAGGTGACTGCTGAGTCATCAAACCTGGCAAAAATCTAAGATGAAAAGAACGGTGCTGACTGCAATAATAGGTCATATATGCTTAGGGCGACTGGATAAATTGGCACATGGAGTTTCTTTTGGTCTACCAGTTAAGAACAATAGGAATCACTATTGAACGTTTTGCACTGTTCCGTACAAGCAAGAGAAAATAATGGGACTTCTGTTCTTTTGGTCCAAAAAATCTTATAGGTAAATAATGCCAGCCTATACGCCTAGTCAGTAAGGGCTTCAAGTTGAGTAAACCAAGTGTAATTAGTAAAGGGGGGAGCGCTTCACTTAAAGGGACGGTAGGGTGGAGTATGACCACCAGGGTTCCTACACTTTGGCCCAATTGAAGACAAAATATCTTCATATTCCTGCCCTGCTTGGCAGCAAGTACCCTTTTTGGCTAGATGAGGAAGTACTTTTCTATATGTCAATTGAACAAGTTTTTTTGACGTAGCATCCTCATTAGTCAGGCGACAGACGATAGGTTTACCCTCGTATTTCTCCTCAAAGCTCAGTCACGTGCAATGGGGAATACCACAGCCGGACACGTAATAACGGCGCAACCTTCGTTAATTTCCACGATGTCGAAGATGGCGGATATGTCGATTATGTTAACAAATGGTGTCATCTTTTCAACGCTCAAACATACAGAACCACACACAGTTCGCGGTAGACCCACTCTAAAAGATGGCGTGTGTAATGAGCATATATTTCGAAACGGGTCGTTCCGCGAATTCAAAATAGCAAAAGAATCAGTTGATTTAGCGACGGTCTCACTAGAATCAAACCAGAAATCAAATGAGTTAAATGTGGACAGAGTGACAGGAGAACATTTGCTGGATAGAACCAAGGTGCCTCGTGATCAAACTCTAGCAAACGAAAACAATGATGCTATGTTGGACTTTCATCAGAGGGAGGATAAACGCAATTGTTATATTTATGTGACCTTTATCATTATTGTTAAGCTTACATTTCTTGTTTTTGCTGAAACAGAGTACATTATCAGCTGTTATTTTGGTATTTGTTCCATAGGTTTTGTCGCTTTTGTGCGTATATTATATTCGCATATTGTTGTGCAGGAATGTCTGTTTGGTACCAAATAACGGTGTCGGATATGATGATTTATTGGACAAAGTAGCGCCATGTATACAACAAAAATGTGTGACGAATCAGCGTTATGTGTAACAAAAACATTATGTTACAAAAGAAATAACATAATTATGCAAAATAATTCAGGTCTCGTTATGTGATGTTTGTTAATCGTTGTAATGTAAACGATGTTGATCGAGTACCATATGCGAAGACGATTCGATAGTGATTCTACTCTAACAATCAAGGCACCATATAGTCAAGGTGATATTATGTACTTTGGTGAAAATGCTGAAAAACAATTTGTTGCTATGAGTTTGATTGCTTTGATTTATAATAAGATAATAGGAATACATACCTGTAGTGACCTGGTACAAATTTTGGAGATGGGTAATCAATTGTATTCAACATTGACATAATGTACAAGGCAGATGTATTTCATGGAAACAGAATCACCGTCAATGATTGCTTTGTCTGACAAAAATTAACAGCTTTGTTATAGTGAAAGCTACACTGGTAATCTAATTCATTGTGATTCAATAATTGAGGCATATCAGTACAGTATGTCTATAGACAGGGCTTTTGAATCACTCTTGTCACAAAATTACTCTTCATTTATTCTGACAATAGAATGTATTGGTGTCGGTATTTATCATACCGATAATGGGAGTTATAAGATATTTTATTCTCATGCAAGGGACGAATATGGTAGATGCCATCCCTCAGGTACATGTGTACTGTTAGAAGTACCATCTATTCAGGGCTTGGCACAGTATTTCCAGACTATACACTCCCTCAGTGACAATTATCAACTCAGAGGAGTACATATTAGTACATATGAAATAAATGCGGTGAACATTTTGAGAGAAGAACACAACTGCTCTTGTAAACATTACTCTGCAGTAGGGCTTTATGCATGTGTTAGTTAGTTGCAAAGTCTTGTAGTTATTGGAATTCCAAAACCCTAAGTTACATAGCTGACCAAGGAAATAAATTCTATCGTAACAAGGCCTTCAACAGGCGTCTAAAAAGGGCAGATTTATACACGTCTTGATATTTGTGGAGTTGAGATATCAGTCCAACTTAACGCTTTTAAAAGCCTGTAGCCCGACTTACAATCTCAGATCGTCTTGTTTATGAAAAATGATTTCATTCTTCTTATTCGTCAGCTGTCGCTTTGAAATGTTACGTCTGCAATGGTTCTGAAGACGCCTGTAAGAAAAGCAAATTGGAGGACAACAAGGCCACCTATTTAAAGACGTGTTTGCTTGGCGATAAATGCTTCAGAGCCTGGGAAAAACCCAAAGATGACGATGCTAAAGTTTTGAGCGGATGCGGTTACCAATCAAACTGTGACGCCCTAAAAACAGCTTGTGACAAAGCGAAAGATACTCTGAAGGACTACCACTGCGCGATTGGCTGCTGTTCTAGTGACGGATGTAACGCAGGCACATCTTTGACATTCAACCTCATCCTGTTGGCCGTTTGCTTTCTTCTGAGCCTAGAACTTCTGAAGTAACCTGGAATCACTTTTACCAGGCTGCCATTTCTTATGGCTTATCACCTATGTCAAGACATTTTTTTCTTTTTTGCGTCAATTTTTTTGCTTTGTTTGTTTTGTTTTTTTCTTATAGGTTATGTTAAATGGCGGTCGAATACTCCATTCGCGCAGTCTTGAAGATTAAGTAGAGGTTTTGAGCTATAAGAATCTCTAGTGCACGTTTAACGCGCTGATAGACAATAGCATTTTCAGTAGCTTTTATACTTATGATATATTAGTTGCATATGGTGGCATTTTATACCTACATTAAAACTTTGTGAGCTAAGTTCTAATCATAGCGGTTTTCTAGTTGTTAGCTTCGCTTTCTCAGCTGGTGGTAGTCAATAAAGATTCTCTCAATGGGGTTAACCGTTAGCCGTAAAGTGACCAAAACATTTATCCGTTAGGCATACAAATTGACGAATCACCCGTAACCATGGAAAAAAATTTGGAAAGAAATTATATTAATCGTTAGCCGAAAAATGGTCGAAGTTTTAACCGTTAGTCGGAAACGCCATCTCCCATTGAGACCCCCAATCAAGTGATTTAAAACTGCGAAACAGAAAGAGTAGGAGTGATATTTCACGTTTGATCTAAAATTTCACACTAAAAACCACAAAAACAACTGTTTTGTTACAACCTTCTCAATTCTTCGCTTAAGGTGACCGATTCCGAGAACACCTTCGCGACGTAGAAAGGAATGACAAGGACGCATCAAACCCAGTCGCTAGACACTTCAATCTACCTAATCATTCTAAGCAGCATATGGCAATCTGGGGTCTTTCCTTACATTAAGGTATAGTAGCTCGGAAAGCCGCAAAACTCTTGAACAAGAGTTTATCATCTTTGAAATCGGCACTCTTAGCCCCATAGGTATCAACGAACGCTTTTCATTCTACTAATTTATCAGGGTTTTTCTCGTCACCATGTTCTCACCAATAGCGTAGCTCCACCTTCTGCATAAAACCCACACACAACCCACAATTACTCCATTCGCTCTTACGAAGGGCTAACGCTCGAAACGTCGGCTTTTTAACTCTTTACGGTGGCCGATTTACAATTTGAACTTAGTTGATATTACTAAATTACCTTGTTACCCCCACCGACACAGCACCACAGTTTCTTTAGAAATTTACCACCTTTAAATATGTCCTGTACTGTCATTAAACAATAAATCATTAGCTCCAGATTTCTACTGTACTTATGGAGTTATGACGGTTAAGCGCAAATGAGCCATCATGCATCACGAGATTGTTCAGGTATAGATAGATCTGCACAAGTCGATTAAAACGTAACAATTGCACTGGTTCATGGTTTTTTTTTTTTTTTTTCATTNATCGTCAAAGGATGATTTCACAAGGACTCTAGCTGGTTGAACCGGTTTTGTCATACACTGTACACAGGCCAATGACTCGCTAGCGCTTTGTTAAGGACCGGAAATCTACAAGACAGGAACCGGGGGGGTTCATGAATTACAACCATACGCACAGTTCGTGGATCACTTCTGTGGAACACTTCTAATTTTTGAAGATGAGAAAATATATTTCACATCTGACTAAGATAACCGGGTGTATGATATTTTGTGTTCCTACTTAGCCATGTAAATCTCAAAAGTCACATAAAAACGCCAACAAAATTGAATGTAGTGTTTTGTGGACTATGTACATAGGGGAGGTTCTTATGCTCATGGCTGGATACAGTACAACTGTAGAATTTCATTTTTATATTCTATCTTAAGGCAATTTTTTGTCTTGTGAAACACATCGCTGAACAATGCGACTCTGAAATAGATCAAATGGTTAGAAAATACCGTTAATTTTTCTCTACGCTTTGGTCCCTAGCATGATAGGCTTTTTCCTATTTAACCGTACAATAATCTTTGAAAATGTGGGTACTAACTTTCGTTCTGTGTTTTCAATTTATGCATTAAACCTGGATTAAACACTTTTTCCCCCCTCCCCGACAAGTTTATCTGTTCAAAGTCACGGTATACATATATTTTGGGGGGTGGTACAGAGGCGAGAATATGCCGAACTACTTGGACAGATTCAAAATGCCGTCCTGTCCCTTGAAGCGTGATGGTTTTTGATTCCAAACTTGATCTAAACATGCTTTTATGGAGCCAAAAATGGAAAGAAAACATGCTACAGAATACTCGACTGCAGAGAAATGGGCGTCTGAGTCGTAAAAGTGACGATAACATGAACGATTCGTACGTGAAGACCCAAACACCGCGAATATGAAGTGAGCTTAAGCTTACTGCAAATTGGTTAGCGTGAAACTTCGTTGATTTTATTTTGTTCCACCCACGACCACGAAAACTTCGCTATGGGGCCTCTCGAGACCTTTGGGAACAAAGTGGTGGTTGGATGGAGGTTTAGTGTTAATTTTGGTAAACCGTGAAGAGCCCAGTTAGGAGGACATCCTTGGACGACGGCAATTTTTCTCCATCAAAACGCTTACAAACACAATAATTGTGCCAGCATGTGTTTCCCACGATTAAAAAACTTTCCAAAGAAAGCCAGATCGCAGGTTACGTCAAGGGCGCAAAAAATTCATACCATGAGGTTGCTCTAAGGAGCCTTTGATTACTCTTGCTTACAACTGTGTCATAGAATGATTTGAAGCACTCGTTATTCCG